AAAATAGTACACACATAGACACATAAAATTCATCATTGAAACAACCAACAACATCAAAACCTCGTAGAAAATTTAGAATCAATCACATCCCAATTATTATAAAGAAAGTAGGAATCTCTCATATCTACCCTTCATGTAATACACCTAGATTGGTAGCCTTTCTCCTCCATTACCTTAGATTTCCAATAATTGATGATGGATACAACAACTTCTCTTACCCCCCTCTTCAAAATCCTAGCTTTTTCTCTTTCTCTCCTTTTTGCCTCTTGTTCTACGTATGTCAGATGTTTCTATAAAAATCTAGATTTTTCCTTACTTTTAGAATATATATCACTCCCATCACTTTTTCTTAATTAGTATTTTTGCCCAACTCATTACTAGCTTCTCTACTCATACCACCTACTTTTCCTGATTTCCACAAATGACCTAATTCTATTATTTTGCTATTTTATTTAATTAATCCAAATAAAATATTATTTATTCTAATAATTAATTAAAATTCTAATTAATTCTAAACAACTGCACCAAACTTTTACTCTCTCTATATGCCTCTATTACAAGGATACTTACCCCCCACAATCACACAACAATAATTTAAAAATGCCAACTAATAAAGTAAACTTTTAAGTAATTCAACTAAATTAATTAATCAAATTTGAGGTATTACAATTCTCTCCCACTTAGAAAAAATTTTGCCCTTGAAAATTACCAGAAGGAAACAAAGTCAGATACAACTCTCTCATTTGACTCTCCAGCTCCCAAGTCATGCTTCAACCAGCTGGTCCTCCCCACTACCTTTACCAAGACAATCTCCTTACCACGCAACTGCTTCACATCATGAATTTTAGCAAGCGGCAGTGGCAAGGCAATCTGATAAGCGACCTCTCATATCATCTACAAGATCTAGTATGGATCAATAAAACATGACGTGAGTTTTTAAGACTTTAAAGCTCGATTGACACCGTTTATTTGAGTAACTCTAAAAAACACTTGGTCTCCCTCTTGGAACTCGAGTGATTTCCTCCACATATCATGGTAACTTTTCTAGCGACTCTACAAAGCTTTCATCTTTTCTTGGATCATCTTGATCTTCTGAGAAGTTTGTATCATAATCCCAGGTCCAATAATCACACTCTCATTAGATCCATACCAATACAAAGGTGTTCTACACCTCATATCATACAACACCTCAAACAGGCCATCCCAATACTCAAATGAAAACTGTTATTGCAAGTGAACTTAATTAGCGGTAAATAGTTATCCCAAGCACCTTTTTGTTCTATCACACAAGCCCTCAACAATCAGAACTTAACTTTAACTTAGTACCCAACACTTCTTGCAAACTCTGCTAAAACCTCGACCTTGATCTCTATTTGATACAATGCTCGAAGGAATACCATGCAAGCTAACAATCTTCTCAATATACGACTTGGCTAACTTTTGTAAATGACAATTGATCTTAACCAGTATGAAATGAGCTGATTTAATTAGTCTATCAAAAATCACCCAAATAGAATCACATCCCTTTCGTCGTCTTTGGCAAACTCGTCACAAGATCCATGGAAATATTGTCCCACTTCCACTCAGGAATACTCAACGGTTGCATTAGACCTAACGACTTCTTATGTTCAATTTTCCACTTTTGACAAGTCAAACAAGCATAGACAAACTCAATTACTTCCTTTTTTATTCCCGGTCACCAAAACAATTTCTTTAAGTTTTGATACATCTTAGTGGCATTGAGATGAATACTCAACCCATTTTTGCGATCTTCCTCAAGAATACTCTTCTTAAGATTGGGTACATATAGTACATAAATCCTATCTCTGAACCTCATCACACCATTCTCATCAATTCTGAAGTCAACGCCCTTACCTTGATTGATTAACATAAGTCATTCAACCAATCCCACGTAGATATTTTGACCTTATCTGATCTCTTAAAGGATACCATTGGTCATCTTCAATGTACCCAACCTTACATTATTAAGAGTTTCTTCACATACCAAACTCATGTCACTAAATTGCTTAATTAATTCCAACTCTCTAACCATCAACATTGACATATGCAGTGACTTCCTACTAAATGTATTAGCTACAACATTAGCTTTACTCGGATGGTAACTAAATACGAAATCATAATATTTCAGAAATCTAAGTCATATTTGCTGCCTCATATTCAACTCTTTTTGATCAAATAAATATTTTTAACTCTTGTGATCACTTGAACACCTCAAATCTGGATCGAAACAAACAGTGCCTCCAAATCTTCAATACGAATACCATTGTTGCCAACTCGAGGTCATGCGTAGGATAATTCCTTTCATGAACTTTCAATTGTCTAGAAGCGTAAGCTACAACTTGACAATTCTACATCAACGCCCCACTTAGACCCATCTTCGAAGCATCACAATACCTAACAAAAGCCCGTTTGGATTCAGAAAAATAAAAACTAGAGTAGACATTAACTCCTTCTTGAGTTCTTGGAAGCTCTCTTTACAATGCACATCCCAAACATAAGCTTGATATTTTCGAGTCAACTGAGTCAAAGGCAACGCTAACTTCGGAAAACCTTGAATAAACTTTCTGTAGTAACCAGTCAATCCAAGAAAACTTCTAATCTCAAAAAAGTGCCTACAAAGGTGCTCTTATTAGCAAACTACCTCCTTAACCACGAAAATTGAAAATCATCTTCTCGAAGAAATGCCTTTTTTCATGCACAAACACATTAAGAGGATTGTAAATGTTAAGGATGATGGTAATTTCGGTTATCAAGCCATATCCAGCTTGCTCGGTAGAGGAGAGGATAACCATTTTCTTGTCCGCCAATAACTTTTGAAAGAGTTGACGACACATAAGGAATTATACACATCGTTATACGGGAACAAATAATATTTTGATGCAATTCACGATGCTCTTACTCCTCGTGTTAGCGGTGCCACACCATTTTCAAAATGAATGCACTTCCCTGAAATGAGCCATCTCATAGAAAGTACATATAATAGAGTGTGTATCGATCTAACAAGATATGGTTTCTCGGAGACATTTTCCCCACTTCGGAGTGACCCACCTAAAGATCCTCCCAGACACATCATGTGTATTGGGTGGATTTCAAAATTGTTACATTTTATTGAGGTTTATTTGAAACTAAAATATCATATACCAAGCACATCGTTGGAGTGGATGACACATTCTACAGAAGAGGTGGAAACTTGACTGGACCCCTTTCTAAAAAGGATGGAAGAGTTCACCAAATTGAGCGAGCTTGAAAAAGAATAAAATAAAGAAAAGTCGAAGGAAGAATCGATAGTAGATTTATACAATGGTGCATCTTTTGAGATATTTTAGATTGTAATCGATTACATAATATAATCTTAATACGACTTAATACATAAGTAATATATATTTAGTAGTGATGGTGTTAATGCCAACTGTTTCAATTTACAAATTTTATGGTTTGCATTTTTTGTTTTTGCATACATAAGTTCTGGTTTAATTATGGTTTAGTGTAAATTCTAGATATGCATATCCGAATAAACCTCATACATATTAAAATAAAACATCAGAGAACTTTTTGGATATGCATACCTATAAACACCCATTTTCGTAGAAAGTTAGGGTTTAACCGGAGATGCATCTCCAAAAAGTGAACTGATGTCATGATAAGGTTTCTAAAGTGCAAAGTGATCCAATACTTGTATAAATAAAGTGTCTTTCAACCTATGTCTTCTATAATACACACAACAACCAGAGAACGAATGCATATCCCCACCTTTCATTTGTGTATTTTAATGGCACAAAACTCCCACTTTAATTTCGAATTTGCGACGACCTACTTCTTGTTGATATGAAAACCAAACTGAATACTCTCATGCGATATCCAGAAATCAGAGAGTTGTCAAACTCGAGTATCGTTCACCATCGCTTGACAGCGAAAGGAAGATACAATTCATCAACTTTGAACTAAAGACAGATGAAAATTTACAAGTCATGTGGAGTAAATTTTACCGTTGTGCATCAAAAAATCCGATTGAAGTGGATGCGAAGATTGAAAGATCCGCTGACGATATTATCAATATATTGCAACGTCATGAACTACTTGTTTATAACGATATGTAATGTTAAATTTATGTTAACAACTATTTATATAATGTTGAGTGTTTTAATTTAATATCAATTTGATTTTGTTTCTAGATCTTGCTCATATTAAAATATATCAAAAAAAAAAATATTCGGAGACGCAAATTCGAACACAAATCATATATAATTAGAATGTCTCACTTATTAACGTTCAATTTTATGTAAGATAAATATGTCCTATGGATTTTCAAAAATTAAAATTATTTTTGACTTTTCACCAAAATTTGAGAGAACAAAAGAAATTCTCTATATGAATAATAATTGAAAATAGCCACGAACAATATAACAATGGTATGCATATATTCTTTGTAGCAATATAACTTCTAACTTTTAACCTATAAAAAGTCATTATAGATCAAATAGCTCGAGCATGTAACAATTCTTACAGCCGTTCATTTTGGTTTCACAAAACAAGAAAGATATTCCTTACATAAAAAATCACACTATAGTAAAAATAAATAAATAAGGTGATAAAAATTTATTCATAAGAAAAAGATAATAAATTTGATTAATGGGACCACCATTAAGCCGGTGTCAGTACCAGGTTCTTACAGAGCACGTCCTTACTCAATACTCATAATAAACTTTGAAGTTAACCGGGACCTATATAACCGAATCTTTCTCATTTCTTCCCTTTCTTCCATTTTCGTCTATTTTGTTGAATCTCTAATACGTACGTACTCTCTTTCATTCTTCATTCCATTTCTTCCATCTAACCATCCACATCTCAGGTCCACCACTTTCATCATCAAACCCTAATTCTCGCTTTTCTCTCTACAACATTCTCCCAATCGCTCATTTCACCATGGATCCTTTCCTGTTTCCGATTTGATCGCACTCTAGCTTCTCCGATTATTCATCATGTTCGAAGCTCACGTAAGAATCCTCCATAATTTTCATTCTTAATTCATTTTTTTGCGCATTGATATTCAACCTGATTTTCAATTTGATGTTTGAGTTTGCGTTTGCGATCTTTCTTTTTATGCTTCGGTTTTTGCATAATTTGCGATGTTTCTCGAACGCAGGCTTTGTATTGATTTTGTCAATTAACGACGTTGAATGCTATAAGTAAGAGTAAATTAGTTTGGAGACTATGCTTCTGTATAGTGATCTTTGCTTTGTTGACAGGTACTGCATTTGCTTCGGAGATATTTGGGCGAATATGTACACGGACTCTCGTCAGAGGCGTTGAGAATAAGTGTTTGGAAGGGTTTGTTTTCTGCTATTTTCTCTCCATTTATTCTCTATTTTTATTTCCTGTGCTGCAATTATGCATTCTGAGATAAATTAGCAGTTATGGATTGGTTACATTTAACTCATCTTAGTTCGGAAATCTTCTTTTCTCCCCTTAATTTATACTCCACCTTTGAGGTGCTGTGAGTTGAAAGGAGAATAGATTATTCTCTATTTGCTGGATTGCTGATGCCGGATGGCATATTTGGTTAGTGCACAAGTCTAGAATTTTTAGATAGATATTTTGTAGGACGGGCTTGTTTTTCTAAATGTATTTTTAGCTTTGCTATCATTGTTTTTAGCATGCAAATGAAATTGTTTTGGTCTTTGAAGTGATTTAACAACTATGATGGTTAAGCATATGCCATGCTAGATGTAGTTTCATTAACAAGTGCCTTTACATTTTAATGTTATAAGCTTTTGCATGGAACCTAATTAAATATTGCGCCAGCAAATTCCTTCTATTGAATCAATTCATCTCAAAATACAATGTTGGTTGATGCTTTTTGTCACGAGTGCTTGCACAATTTAACATTACTCTGAAATGCTTTTTACTCCTCTGAGACAATTGATCATTGTTATTCCATCTAAAGGATCAACTCTGCAGGTGACGTTGTCCTCAAAGATTTGAAGCTAAAGTCAGAGGCACTAAATGCACTAAAACTCCCGCTTACCGTCAAAGCTGGCTTTGTTGGTACCATCACATTGAAGGTAACATTTACCATTTCTGATTGTCTGATAACAATTTATGGCTCCTTACTTTGGATTTGTTAGTCGTAGTCATATATGCGTGCATCTATGTGCGTTTTATAATTATATGAGTATGAATGGATACATATGCACATGCTTACATGCATATTTAGCTGTTTAAAATATATGGCATACAAGCTTGCATGTTTGGTTTTGTAATTTCAATGTATTTTTTAGTGGTATACGATGTTCGTTTTTATTGCTTATCTTTTTACCTTGTTTGATGCTACTCATTTTCCCCCTTTTCACCTCCTCTGGAATTCTTCCTCGAGCTTTCAAATTGGATGTTCATTCAAATTTCTCCCTCACTCTATAATGTAATAGGTTCCTTGGAAAAGTTTGGGGAAAGAACCGGTGATTGTTCTAATCGACCGTGTCTTTGTTCTTGCTAATCCTGCTCCTGATAGTCGGACTGTAAAGGTACAAAAGTATTTTTGTTTGTTGTTTAATTAATTAATGTTCATATCCTTTTTCTTAATGAAGCTATTATTTTTTACAGGAGGAGGATAGAGAAAAACTTTTCCAAGACAAGCTTCAGCAGATTGAGGTAAGATTATATGCAACTTGTGAAAATATCTTATTTAACATCTATTTTAAGAAAGGTGTATTGATGCTTGTTTCCCAGTCAATTGTGTAATCTGTGATAGATTTTCTTGTATTAGAATTGTATAAAGTTATCATGACTTTTGTGCCCGAACAAAATTTTCTTTTTATTATTGTCAATCAATTTTAATGAACCTTCAGTGTTGTACCATCTATGTGACTGAATGTTGGACGGTAAGGAGCCACCATGAAAGTAACTCAGCGAGAAGAGATGAAATGTTCTGATTGATGAATGGTTACGTAAGACCCAAGAGGTTTAGATTTGAAATACAATTAGTTGAAAGAGGATTTGTGTACTTTAAATTGTAGAGGCTTGCTTAACTTATGTAGTTTAGTGTGGAGAAGACCCGTGGAAGCACTTATAAGGAGGGTTGACTAGATGGAAGGGAGTCCCTTTGATAGAAAAAAAGAGGGAGACAACAAAAAATTATAGGCCATACTAATTATGAAAAAAAGGAAGATTTAAATGGTCTATCTTTGGAGTTTGGACTCGGTACATGATAGGGTATTATGAGCTGTTTGATTCATAAAGCTGATTCATCTAATGGGTAAAAGCTTGTTTATGTTACACCTCCTGTTACAGCTATCCTTAGCTGTCAATTCTACTAAAAATACCTGCATCATGTATTAATCCTCACATACCAGTTATAAAAAACATTGCAGTTTCTTCTTGTTTTTCTCTGAATCCAGACACACTATTAGAGGTGTCCCAGAGATGTCATCTCAAGGGTAAGAGTTTGACTTTGTAAGGGACGGAGTTAAAATATCTTCGGATATGGTTGTAAAATGGTCATTATTGCAACTTAATTAATAATAATATCCCCCTACCCAATATTTTTTTTAACACTATTAGAGGTCAGTCAGTGTAGTTTGCACCGTTTTGCTCTATCTTTATTTCAAATAGTTGCATTCTTCTGAAAAGGGGAGGTCCAGAGAAGGAAAATAAAGTGATAAGCAAGGAAATTAGTGGCTTTTTCTTTTTTTGATACATTTTCCTGTCTTTGTGCCTCTGTTAAACTTCATCAACTTTTATTTCTTAAATTATCTTTTTTCTAATATTTATTTTTTCAATTCTTTGCCTTTTTTCCCATTGGTCCTGCAGGAAGCAGAGTTAGCAACACTTGATGCAATATCCAAGTCCAAGTTGGGAAGTGTACGACTTTTATATAATCTAGCTAATGGTTATTAAATTCACTTGGTTTTATGATTCGTTTACCCATTTTTTCATGTTATTTAAAATATGATGAAAGTATTAGAGTTGGAAGAAACGACATATGTGAACGTGCTTGAGGTTTGAGTGCTCTCAGCAATATACATTTCCATTCATTAGAGTTACAATGAGAATAGATGCAAAATGTAGTTTACAAGATGAATACTGTGGCTAACAGTAACACTATTCTCTGATATCCGTTATTCATTTTGCTTCTATAGAGTGGATCCAAACTATTTGGAAATGGAACGATAAATTTGTTCAAGCTCCAACACACCCATAAGTTGATGACTAAGTATTTCCATATCTAGCATAAATACTATTTTTTATTTTTTTAAAACTGGTCTGCACAATCTTTTGACAAAATATCTATAAAACGTCCTCTCTGAAGTCCTAGATTTTGAGTTGAGTCTAACTCAATTTTACAAAATCGGCTTGTAAGGTGAAAATTGCCTATACTTATAAACATATGTTTAGGCCATCTCTCATTCAATGTGTGATTCTTAACATCCCCCTCACACCCAAGACTAAACATTTGAAGTGCGTCTTGAGTCACTTGATAGTAAAAATGTGATAGTCCCAACAGATCATTGATAGGCTTTGATACCATCTTAGAGTTTGGGTTGAGTCTAACTTAACTCTATAGAGCCGACTTGTAAGGTGAGGATGACCCCCCAATTATAAACACATATTCACGCCATTTCTCATTCAATGTGAGATTCTTAACACATTCATCATACAATGTCGGACTCTTATCAAATCAGTATTAAGATGCAATCAAGCCAGTGTCAATAACATTTAAGTTTCTTATTCTTCTTTCATATTTTACCTTAAATCTAACAACTTCAACATGATATTAGAGCTTATCCCAAATCCGTTGAGTCACCTGCTGTCAACTTTGTACTATCGGGCCACAATTCATATGTTTAGTCTTGGATGTAGGGATGTGGTTGAAAGTTCAACATTAGATGAGAGATGATTTGAGCATATGTTATAAGTGAACATATGTTATGTGACTAAGTGAGGACAATCCTCACCTTACAAATTAATTTTGTAAGGCTGAGTTATGTCCAATTCAAATTTTAAATGAATAAACATATGGAGTACAAATCAAACCATAACCATTCAAAGCTTCTTCTTGATAACATGCTGGTCTAGCGCAATATATCCCATTCATTCTCTATTTATTAGCATTCATATAGTTTTCTTATTTTCCGCCCATTCATTCGGGCCACCCTCATTTATATCCACACATCAAGTCTAATAGTAGTGGGCGTAAGAGTATAATTAATCCCGCATGGATTATAAAGTGACATCCTAATGTTACAAACAGGTTTTGAAAAATGAGTTAAGTCCAATATGAATATCAAGTAATCACATTAAATCATTGTCCATCCCATTTATTGTTTAATCTTCTAGAATAATTTTGAGCCATAGTAATTCACAAATGCTGTTGTGCAGATGCTTCAGCATTAGAAAGAGCAGCCACATATTTGTTTATTGTTGGAATTTCCGCCTTAATTGCGGCCTGCCCCTAGTTGCCTTAATTGCGGCATTTGACTTGCCTTCATTGCAGCCTCTAACACCTTCACAACGTTGGGTTCAAAGGGGTGAATTTAGTCCCACGTTGCCCTCACTTATTTGTGTTGTGTTTATAAGTGAGGGCAATCCTCACCTTACAAGTTGGTTTTGTGGGAATGAATTAGGCCCAACCCAAATTTTGAGATGGTATTAGAGCCTATCCTATATCACTTGTTGGGCTTCCCGCATCGTACACGCTCTGAGTTTAATGAAGCCCGAGCATGAGGGGATGTGTTGGAATTTCCGCCTTCACTGCGATCTGCCCCTAGTCATCTTAATTGTAGCATTTGGCTTGCCTTAATTGTAGCCTCCAACACCTTCATTGTGTTGGGTTTGAAGGGGTGGATTTAGTCCCACGGTGTTTAGAGATATGACATGTGTTGTGTTTATAAGCGGGGACAATCCTCACCCTACAAGCCGGTTCTATAGGGATGAGTTAGGCCCAACCCAAATTCTGAGACTTTTTATTGCTTAAAGTTACTCTTTCGGTCTCATATTATGTTTCATTACGAATTTTTTTGCTTCTCATATTTTTGTTATTTTATAATACCCATAGTCTTAATTATAATTTCCTCATAATATATTGTTATTTGTTGTATCTCCTTACCATTCCACAAACTATTATTAATAACTATAATTAATAAGGGTAATTTACTAAATAAAACTACTTCATGAAAAAAATTAATACACATAATGATTTTCTTATGAGGTGTGTATTACCTTAAAAATAGACATACTATGAGATGAGTACTCAAATTCCTACAAGGAATACACATTAACCAGGGTAGCTCTCTTGTTAGTAGCTAACACTGCATAGTTATAAGTCTTGGTGTGTGTTTGGAAAACTTGAAAATTATGATGAAAAATCATGGTGGGACAGAAGCTACCTATACCAGCTTCTCAAAATCACGGTGAAAAAGACCTTAAATGGGGCAGCAGTGACCCACCGGGTTACTAAACATAGCGTGAATAATTGTATTGCCATTCCTTTTATATAAATTTCAAAGACCTTAAATGTGCGGCAGCAGTGGCCCACAGTGTTAGCGAACATAGCGTTAATAATTGTATTGCCATTCCTTTTATATAAATTTCTTCTTCCTGAAGTTCTCATAAACAGTGTTGTTAAATAAACCAGGGTAGCTCTCTTGTTAGTAGCTACATTTCATAGTTATAAATCTTAATAGTTGTATTGCCATTCCTTTTATACAATTTTTTTCTTCCTGAAGTTCCCATAAGCAGTGTTGTTAAATAACCGGTATAGCAGCGCTATATGCTACACCGCCATTGTATATCAGGACTTGGAGCAACTGCAACAAAAGGCTATATGCCTTTGCGATTTCGCTACCTCTGTTTTCTATTTTTTTTAATTTTATTTTTATTATTTATTTACTTTTTGCAAATAATAACATTAAAAATACCATTTGAGCTGCTTTGACCTATTTTTAGAAACAAAACAAAATAAAATAATGCTGAGTTGGTGATGAGATGGGGTCATATATAAACCCCCAACCTGGGCAACCTCTCATCTAGTCCCGTTCACCCATCATCCCTAATTTCAACCTCTTTGCGACTTCCTCTATCTGTTCACTATGCTATCCGCTATTTCCTATATTGAATATATCGAACTTTTAACGATTCACTATTTTTGACGATTTGCTATTAATAACGCTGCCCATAAATGGACTTCTCTTGAACATTGTATGAATCCACTTAAACAAACTTGGAATGAATACAATGTTTGTGTGAAACAAATAGATTAGTTTCCCAACTAATCATTGATACCTTTTCTCATTCAGTGCTGCACCTTCATCTGCATTACCTAGTTTAATAGCCAAATACTCGAATATATGAGTGTACTTACATTCTTACAAACTATCTTACTCGACGATTTTGTTTTAATTAAACATGATTTGATTAAGTCAGTACTGTTAATGGGAAAATTTCGCTCTCCCTCTCCTTGTGTGCGTGTGTAGTTGAAATAATGTGTGAGCATACCCTTGAAATGATTTACCTGACAGCTTTAATATCGTACAGCCATCTTCTGGAAATTCATGGCTGAGTTCTCTTATCTCTACAATTATTGGAAATCTCAAGATATCTATAAGCAATGTGCATATCAGATACGAAGATTCAATCAGGTTGGTTAATAAGTATCATTTTACCTTTGATTGTGCAACTATGCATTCATATTGGCATTTAATTTAATTTTTCCACACTTCAGGTTAAGGAGGTTCTTCTTTTGCTCTGGTTCCACTTGCTTATGCTATTAATTGTTGTTTGCAGTAATCCCGGCCATCCATTTTCTTCAGGTGTGACTTTGGCTAAGCTTGCTGCTGTTACAATGGATGAACAGGGGAATGAAACTTTTGATACTAGTGGTGCTTTGGATAGATTGAGGAAGGTAGGACTTTTTTGTTTTGTTATGATAGTTATATGAAACTTCTATTGAAAGTCTACCTGTTTTACTAAACCAAATCAAGATTTGCCAAAATTGTTTTTTGATCCAGTAAAGCTTCATGTCTAAATACACGTTTTTTATATTGTAGTTTGTGTACTCGTTTCTGTTACTTCTGTATTAGTTTGTTGTACAGAGTTGGGATTTGTTTTGCAATATTTCAAAATTTAGTGGACCTAATAGAGATGGATCAGAATTAATAGGAAAATAGAGGTTTTATTCAAGTCAAAACCACAAAATCTTGGTCATTATAATGTTGGTACTATAACAGAAAGCAGAAAATCCCAGGGTATTCTGGAGACCCAGTCTCTCCCGAATGGAATTACCAACCACTTCTCTCCTTTTTATTCTCTTCCCCATCATTACATTTTATTGTCTACCAAACATTTACTAACTTCCCCTCTCCCCGTTTTATTCCTGCTCCCTCTGTTACAGTCAACTGTCTAGGGACAGTTACTATCATGACTCCCCGTGTTTCTAATATTCTGATACCACACTTCTTTTGCCTATTGAAAATCCTCTTAACTGGTGCTTTACTAGTTGTTGGAAATTCCATCTTTCTTGTGATCCGTCCCTAGTCGCCTAATTGCGGCATTTGGTTTGTCTTCATTGCAATCTCCAACACTTTTCTTTTGTTGGGTTTGAAGGGGTGGATTTAGTCTCACATTGTTTAGAGGTGTGTTTATAAAGCTTGAGCAACCCTCACCTTACAAACCGGATTTGTAGGGATGATTTTGGTCACCTAATCGCGGTATTTGGCTGCCTTCATTGTATCCTTCAACACCTTCTTTGTGTTGACTTTGAAGGGAAGATTTAGTCCCACATTGTTTCATTGTTTAGAGATATGACCTGAGAAGTGATTATCAAGCTTGAACTTCCACCACCTTACAAACCGGTCTTGTAGGGATTAGTTAGACTCAACTTAAGTTTTAAAATTAGTACATATCAAGGCAAATGGTATTCATAATTCCTATATTTTACTCTTCTGCTATATGGTTATATACAATTTGGGTCGGAGATATAGCTTCCTGGCAATTTCTAGTTGGTTTTATCAGAAGATTTAAGTAGCCGCAGTAGCCGTTTTCCAGCCACTTGTACTTCCCCCCATATGACATGATGTACCATAGAAGGGTGGTAGAGATGCTTAATAAGTCCTTTGCTTGGCAGCTGATGCACTTGGGATGGCTCGATAACTTAAATCTTAATAGATAGCATCTTTGACATATTTTGATCCTTGTTGCCTCCACTTCTACTTTAATTAAATATTTAGCTCAAAGTCAAGGTGGCCTTTTACACTGTTACAGTAGGGTAACTCATCATATTGGTTTGACATATTTTTTATTCTTACAGTCAGTGCACTTGGAGAGGCTGGCTCTTTATCATGATTCTGATAGACTTCCTTGGGAGATTGACAAGAGATGGGAGGATATCAGTCCACATGAATGGATTGAGGTTATTTTTAATTTGACCAATTCTGCATTCTCATTTGATGTGTTACATATATGTTACTGTCAATTAGATCTTTTTATCAGCATGGTAAGTGATTTATGCCCCTCATTTCATGCGATAGTTATATTTGTTCTGTACCAGATATTTGAAGATGGCATAAATGAGCCTATTGATCACCATAAGTTGGTGTCTAAGTGGGCTATGAACCGAACATACTTGGTCTATCCTATCAATGCAAGCCTACAGTATCATCGTCTTGGAAACCAAGAAAGAAGTGATCCCGAGATCCCGTTTGAGAAAATTTCCCTTGTCCTCACAGATATCTCTCTTACCCTTACAGAGGTATTTAGTTTTCAATTATTTTATTGATTTCTAGAATTGCCCTTGATTTTGGTGTCGAACACAAATCTAATTAAGAGAAAGGTCTAAAATCTTGGATACTTCAATGTGACTGCAATGCTTGTCTTAGGTCCTAACTTGTTTTGATATCATACTGGATATCCAATATATTTTTTGAGTTATTGTACAAATTACAAGTACTAAGAATATTATTCTTAATTCTTACTTTGTCACTCAACGGTCATTTGTGTCTCCTTGAAAGTACTGTTTGTTTTACTTGTTCCTGTCTGAACTCTAGGCTCAGTATTATGATTGGATAAAACTCTTGGAAGCCGTTTCAAGATACAAGACATATTTGGAAGTTTCTCACTTACGACCTACAGTTTCCATCTCAAAGGCTCCTTATCTGTGGTGGCAGTATGCTGCCCAGGCCACGCTCCAGCAGCTGAAGATGTGGTAATAAATTATGGTTTTGTTGGAATAAATAAATGACCTTTTAATGAGATATGTATTAGAGCTCAGAAGTCTCCCACTCATTGGATTTTGTATTGTTCGTGTTAAATCCTATATTTAAAATTGATTTTACACTTTCCGTGTTAAATCAGTTATCGCTTGTCATGGGACCAAATTAGAGATCTTTGTCAGCGTCGGCGGCGATATGTTCAGTTATACGTGGCTTCTCTTCAACAGTCATCCACCGTCAACCTCTTAGAAATCAGAGAAATAGAGAAGGATCTTGATTCAAAAGTGATTCTTCTATGGAGGTCTGTATTACTTTTGATGGTCATTGTGTTGTTGATAATTGATGATGAGTATAGTTTTATGCTATAACTAATTTTTTTTTTTCCATTTGAAAACTAGCATAAAAAATTGTTTCTGATTTTTGTCTTCTAATTTCATAAAGCTTAAATTTTTTGTGCATATCAGATTTGAATTTTATGCAACAGAGAAGCTTGTTATGTATGGTTTTGTAAGAATTTCTAAGTTTTTTAAGAAGCACTAAGAGCTATGAAGCACGGACACCTCTAGGAGTTGGTGTGTTGCAGTGTCTGACACTTGTATGAAACTTGCACGACACATGTTGGAAAAATTAGACAAGTGTTTACAAATAATTGATATTTTCTTTGCTTTGGCACTCTTTAAACCACTTTCCGACACCCGTATGACATTCATACAATACATATAAGAGAATTCAAACAAGGGTTTAAAAAATAAATTGGTTTTTTCTTTACTTAAACACACCTTATACTTTTTTTTACAAATCTGACATACATCTAAAAGGTTAAACATATATTTAAGCAATGTTATCAATGAAGTATGAAGTATTAACAACATTAATATTAATTAGAATATTTATAACGCTTTTAATAATAGACGAATAAATGCAGCTCAAATACTATGATATATATGTACCGGTGTCAATGATGTATGTTTTTTACATTATCGGTGTTTGAGTGTTCTTGTTGGAGTAAGTGCTTCATAGACTAAGAGTATGTATGCGTTAAGAATCTCCATTTTAAAACTGCTGAATTTGCGTAACACTTGGGCTTTTTACCCGCTAATGATCCAACTCCATCCGCATAGACCTCCATTGATTGGGCATATTCCGTAACGAAGTTGTTCCATTCCTTTGCAGCAACTGTTATTACTTGCAAAAATTTACAAATGCAATTTAGAAGGTAGTAATTAGGTCATCACAGTTTCGTACTTGGAGAAAGGAACATTAATGTCGTTTAACTTCCAACAATCATTAATATTGTTTATCTTTCAACAAAACATTTTTATCCAGAGTTTTATTTTGGATTTATTTATATTCTTAGGAGGTGGGGAGGTGCACAGTGTTAGACCTCTCTATTAGAGAATAGAGTTAGAGGAGAGTAGAAATAAATTATGGCAATTATGGTCAGTCATTTTTATTTAATTTGAAAGTTATGTTTTTTCTATTTTAGGGGTAAATAGAGAAAGGAAAGGGGAAAGGGATTATTGGATAGTTATTGAGTTGTTATGGGAGGGAGAGACCAAACTTTCATCCTTGGAAGGGAATTTTCTGGTAACCGCAGACGATCTTATTCTCTCTGTTAGTTTTCTGGTGTGATATTCTGCATATACACTGGTTCTCTGTTTTAATACAATTTATGGATTCAATAATATTAATGCTATTGTTTTTTAATTTTTTTTTATATAGATACCCATTTTTATCACTCAGTAAGTAACAAAAGATGATTCATTTGATGGGGACAAACGACTTTTAATGCTAGAGGGGAAAATAAAATAAGATAAAACAAGACACGTTATAGAGCAGTACTTCAAAGAAATCTAAACTAAAAAATAGCCATGACCTTAGCCGAGGGAAGCCACCACATCCCTACAAAGTGTGAACTTTGCTGTAGTGATTAGCTCATATTGTTTGATTCAATTGTTTCTAAATAGTTTTTGATTTTCATGTCATTTTCTTCATCTACTACTTGTATTTTGGCAACATTTTTTTTTCTTGTTTAATCAATACATGTTCACTTATAAATGAATAATAGTTTTTTTTTGCGTGTGTCAAATTTTGCTTGTTATCTAAAGGTTGCTAGCTCATGCCAAGGTTGAATCTGTAAAATCTAAGGTAGCTGCTGAAGAAAGGAAACTCAAGAACAAGAGCTGGTTTTCATTTAGATGGTATTTGGCAATTTCACAGTTTTGCATATTCTTACCACTTTGGAATGTTTTTTGTTTTTGCATTTCGTGGAATAAATTTCAGCAACATTTTCATGCCTTTCTGATAGGCATTTTCCATAGTATTAGTCTGTAGGGATGAAGATTGATTGCAACAATCTTTTTGTAGGGGTGCTGACACAGAAGAAGCTTCTTTGAGTGATGCTTCCGAGGAGCAACAACTTAAAGAAGAAAGTTTAACTACAGAAGAATGGCAGGCAATCAATAAGTTACTAAGTTTTCAGCCCGAGGATGAGTTGATGGTACGATCTGCAAAAGATATGCAGAATATGGTCCAGTTTCTGGTAACTGTATCTATTGGTCAGGCTGCTGCCAGGATTATCAGTGTGAATCAGGTGGAAATTGTATGTGGTCGTTTTGAGCAACTTGATGTGAAAACCAAGTTTAGGCACCGCAGTGTTTACTGTGATGTGTTACTAAAGTTCTATGGCTTATCTGCTCCTGAAGGTTCACTTACCCAGGTTTAATTCTTTGCATTGTAAATTGCATACCTAATTTGCTGAAATAACTATAGTTTATTTTGCAGATTTGAATAGATAGACTTTATTTTCTCTGTATCTCTCTCCTTATACACGCGAGCGCGCACACACACACACACATATGCATGTATCTCTCTCCTTATACACGCGAGTGCGCACACACACACACACATATGCATGTATCTCTCTCCTTATACACGCGAGTGCGCACACACACACACACACATATGCATGTATCTCATCGAGTTTAAACTTAAATTTAATTTCCTTTTTCCTAGTTTTACTATTTTGCTTACATTATTTTTGTAGGTTGTCAAAATCCTATATCGTGTATTGTGTTGATAATTGAAGTCTTATACACGCACACACATATATGCACGTATCTATCTCATCTAGTTTAAACTTAAATTTAATTTCCTTTTTTCCTAGCTTTACTATTTTGCCTACATTATTTTTGTAGGTTGTCAAAATGGTATATCGTGTATTTGTTGATAATTGAAGTCTAACAATTGTTCATTTTAGATTTTTTGTTTGTTTTGCTAGTACTCACTTCTTGGGAACCTGATTTGTGTAGAGTGTCTATAGTGAGCAGAAGGTAAATGCATTAGTGGCTAGTTTTGTGCACTTGCCAATTGGGGAGAATATTGATTGGAGATTGTCAGCTACAATTGCTCCATGCCATGTTACGGTAATTTCTGAATCTTTAAGATATTGAAAAATTAGTGTTTTAATTTTTCCATTTTCCCAATGATGCATCCCTTATCTTCCATGTACTTTTTCCTCTCTTTTGTTGTAAGAATTTTTTCTTTTATCAAACAAGATCTTTCTCTTGGTCCAATAATGAAACACTCCCACTCCCCCCGAAACTCAAAAGAGCTCAGACCCATTGTGAAATTAGAATATCAATTTTGTTGTACAAGAGTTTTAATGAAAAGAACATCTCTCGACGTGTTTGGTATTGCATTCTTTCTGAAGTGGAAAATACGTACTGCTTAACGGCTTGAAATCATAACATAGAGGCTTCTTTCTTCTCATTAACTTTAGAATATTTCTTACCCTTGTTTGCAGATTTTGATGGATAGTATTGACCGTGTCTTTGAGTTTTTAAAGCGGAGTAAGGCAATTAGTCCTACTGTTGCATTGGAGACAGCTACTGCTTTACAGGTGATTATATATCCTTGAATTTCATTTTTGGCTTTTTTTTTTTATAATTGAAACAAATGATTGTAATGGATGCCACTGATAGAAGATGACAATCATGAAGAAAGAGAGTAGAAACTGAAATGTCGGTTTATTGATTCAATTCAGTTTACAATCTAAATATTTATTGTTGGGTATAGAAGTCCAACTTGTAACAAAATTCATAACTGAATTCTTAACAAAATTCTTAGTAGAATTCTTACTTCAGGGAAGGGGAGAGAATTGGGCCAATTACAAGGGATATTAGCCCATATTTCTAATTGCCCCTTCAATTTCAAGGTGGTTGACCAAGTGAGAAGTTGTCAACTACTCTTAACTTGTCTCTGAGTGTTATGAATGTGGCAGTAGAAAAAGGGGTTTTGTCAAGATATCAGTTCACTAATCATGAGCTGGTATGTGTGACCCAATGAGATTCTTGCTAATGACTTTTTCTCTGACAAAAAAGATGTTCAACTCCATGTGCTCTGTTCTAGAATGAAGCACATGATTGTATGAGAGAGCAATTGCACTAAGGTTGTCACATAAAATCCTTGGCACTTGGTGTTTGACCCTGAGTTCATGAAGCAGTAATTGAAGCCATAAGATCTTTGCAATGGCATTAGCTAAACTCCTATACTTTGCTTATAGATATAACAACCAATGTTTGTTTCTTAGCCCACCAAGAGATCAGATTTGGACCAAGGAAAATGCATGCACCTGATGTAGACCTGACCTCCCATCATCTGGTTTAGAGGCCTAGTCACATCACAAAACCCTGTAATGGTGATAGTAGTAGTGTTGTCAGCTGAGGCAAGCAACATGCCAGGGTTAAGAGTCCCTTGTAAAGGAAAATGCATGCACCTGATGTAGACCTGACCTCCTATCAATCTGGTTTAGAGGCCCAATCACATCACAGAACCCTGTGTTGGTGATAGGAGTAGTGTTGTCAGCCGAGGCAAGCAAAAAGTCAGTGTTAAGAGTCCCTTGAAAGTAAGTACCTTAGGATTCTTTTGACTGTCTTCTACTGATCCTTAAGAGGGTTGGAAAAAAATTGACACCTTATTCACTGCAAAGGAAATTTTAGGCCTGGTAATTGTAGCATATTGTAGGGCACCTACAATGTGCCTGAACATAGTTGGATCACTCACATTTGCTTGAACTTACCTTGGACAGTTTTGTGCTAGAGGCCATGGGTGAAACAACCCCTTTAGCAGTTGACATGTTTGCTTTACTCAAAAGATCCTTTAGGTATTTGCTTTGAGATAGAAGAAGAGATCCATTAGGAAGATGATGCACCTATATGCCCAAGAAGTAGTCAAGTTGGCCCAGTTTTTGAGAGAGAATGAGAGATTGAGTTTGGTGATTAGTTGTTGGATGAGGCCTTTGACGTGCCTATGATGATTATGTCATCAACCATACACAAGGACAAGAGTGCATAGTATGAGAGTGTGCAACATAAACAACGACCAATCACATTTGCTGGCAGTGAAGTGGAGAGAGAGAGAGAAAGAGATAAGAGAGCACCTTTTAATTTGTCAAACCAGGCCATAGGAGCTTGGTTATGGCCTTACAAAGCTTTGTTGAGTTTGGAAACTGTTAAGAGTCCCACATCGGACAATATATGGAATGAACATGTGTTTACAAGTGGGGGCGATCCTCACTCTATCAACCGGTTTTGTAGGGTTGAGTTAGGCCCAACCACATTTCTTAACATGGTATCTAGAGCCTGCTAAGAGGCAATTCTTTCTTCGCCGTGCTTTACCCGGTTGACCCACTGTCTTCCGGTGAGAAATTAAAATTTTTTTTTTTTTGCAAACCGTGTTGTCACTCCGGTTTGCCTCACTTTTCAAAATTCTCCGGTGACCACTCTGCCGCCGTTACTGTTCTGGCAAAACTTCTGGCGACGTTTCGGAAAGCCGATCTCACCATCAATTTTCAACATTCTCCGGTCATAACCGCATAGCCGCCGCCGTCGCTACTATTCTCGACGACCTTCCGACAAACTTTTTCATCAGCAGAAACCTCCGCACGCGCCACCTCCGTCTCCGTGCGTGTGCATCAAGCGCCGCCACCTGAATCACACGTGACAGCACGTCCGGCGATTGATCGCGTGATATTTTCTCTCTTTAGGTGGTATCAGAATTATCTGTTTACCTCTCTCAATCATCTCCTCTTCGACCTTGGGTCCTTGATTCTGGTGTGTCTGATCATGTTACTGGTAATAAAAATTTGTTCTCTTCCCTCTCTACCTCTGGTTTCTTACCTACTATAACTTCTGCCAATGGTTCTCAAACTCGATCCGAAGGGATTGGTACTGTTCAAATTCTACCTTCTCTATCTGTTAATTCTGTCCTCTATGTACCTAATTGTCCATTTAATTTACTTTCAGTCAGTCGTTTAACTCGTTTTCTTGATTGTAGTATCACCTTCACCAACAATAATGTTACCCTGCAGAATCGGAGTTCGGGAAACACGATTGGCGTCGGATATGAGTCTCAAGGCCTTTACTACCTTTCATTGTCATTCAGACATGCTCAACCAAAGATTCTCCACTCACTATCCATGCTCAGTTAGGTCATCCTAGTCTTTCCAAATTACATAAGTTGGTGCCAAATTTATCGAAGGTATCTAATTTACAGTGAGTCGTGCCAGTTAGGGAAACACACTCGTAGTCAATTTCCCAGTCGAGTCAACAAACGAGCTTCGTCCCTTTTGCTTTAGTTCACACCGATGTTTGGGGTCCCTCGCGTACTGTCTCTACTCTTGAGTCTAGGTATTTTGTCACCTTTATTGATGATTTTTCACGTTGCACGTGGTTATTTTTAATGAAGAATAGATCTGAATTGTTTTCCATTTTTGAACAATTTTATCGAGAAATAAGAACTCAATTTGGTTTGTCAATTCGTATCTTAAGAAATGACAATGCACGTGAATATTTATCCCAACAATTTCAAACATTTATGTCATCCAATGGTATTTTGCACCAAACATCTTGCCCCCATACACCCCAACAAAACGGGGTAGCCGAACGCAAAAATCGGCACCTCGTAGAAACCACTCGGACCCTACTTCTCCATGGTAATGTTCCTCTCCGGTTTTGGGGAGATACAGTGCTCACAGCATGTTACCTCATAAATCGCATGCCCTCATCTGTCCTTAATAATAAAATCCCTCATTCAATCTTGTTTCCAAACTCCCCACTCCACCCAATTCCTCCTCGAGTCTTTGGGTCTACGTGTTTTGTACACAATGTCTCCCCTGGTCTTGATAAACTATCATCTCGATCACTAAAGTGTGTCTTTATTGGCTATCATCGATCTCAAAAGGGTTATCATTGCTATTCACGTACTCTACAACGATACCTCGTACCGGCCGATGTTACCTTCTTCGAGTCTGTTCCATATTTCGAGTCCAACCAAGTAACTATGGAACCTCTACAAGAAAGTATTCCTACACCTCTTCCGGAAGTCCCATCTGTCATTATCCCCCATCATTCTAGGGAACCTGACCCACTCGATACCTCTACGGTTGACCTCCCCCACTCCTCGCCCACTTCAAACATATCAGCGTCGTCACCCAACGTCTGTCGTACCTGTCCCTGAAGTCGCACCTGTCCCTGAAGTCGTATCTGTCCCTGAAGTCGTACCTGTCCCTGAGGTCACTACGGACTCTCCTCCGACACTCTCGCACCTGTCCCTGAAGTCGTATCTATCCCTGAAGTCGTACCTGTCCCTGAGGTCACTGATTTCTCTACCTCATGGAAAATCTTTAGTAGGTTGTCGTTGGCTTTATACAGTGAAGGTTGGTTCAGATGGTAAGATTGAACGATTTAAATCTCGCTTGATAGCCAAAGCATACACTCAGATTTTTGGGTTGGATTATAGTGATACATTTTCGCCTGTAGCCAAGATGACATCTATTAGACTTCTTCTAACCATTGCAGCCATTCGACATTCGTCTCTTCATCAACTTGACATCAAAAATGCATTCTTACATGGTGATCTTAAAGAAGAAGTATATATGGAGCAACCACCTGGGTTTGTTGCTCAGGGGGAGTCATCGAATATGGTTTGTAGGCTACACAGGTCTCTTTATGGTCTTAAGCAATCTCCGAGAGCGTGGTTTGGCAGATTCAGCACTGTAGTACAACAATTTGGTATGATTCGTAGTGAAGCTGACCATTATGTTTTTTATCGTCACTCACCCTAAGGGTGTATTTATCTTATTGCGTATGTAGATGACATTGTCATAACTGGTAGTGATCAGTAGGGAATACTCCTGTTGAAACAACATCTCTCGAAACAATTTCAGATAAAAGATCTTGGTAAACTCCGCTATTTCTTGAGTATTGAAATAGCTCAATCTAAAGATGGTTTGGTGATTTCTCAGCGGAAATATGCTATGGATATTTTGGAAGAAACAGGTTTGTTAAATGCTAAACCAGCCGATACTCCTATGGATCCAAGTGTTGAACTACTACCCAATCAGGGGAGCCTCTATCTGACTCGGGAAGGTATAGGAGATTGGTTGGAAAGTTGAATTATCTCACAGTCACTTGTCCGGACATTTCTTTTGCAGTCAGTGTGGTAAGCCAGTTCTAAAATTCCCTTTGTCAGGAACACATGGATGCTGTTATCTGGATTCTGAGGTACATCAAATGTGCTCCAGGAACACTGGAACACATTTTTTTTTGAATGCATATCATGTTTATGAATATCGTAAGGTCTTAGAAAGGGAAAGCAAACACACCCAAAAAACTTTAGGAACTCGTAATTAGGAAATTGCAAATGTAAGGTGAAGAAAGAAGAGGAATTATTTTGAGAGGATGATTGCAGTCTCTTGATAAGATATGTTGCTGTCAAAAAGGCATGGTCCCAAAAGAATAAAGGAAGATTTGCTTGAGCTAGGAGGGCTAGGTCAGTTTCAACTACGTGCCTATGTTTGCATTCTACAGAACCATTTTGATGGTGAGTATGAGGACACGTGAGTCTATATGTAATGCCAAATTTAGCTAGGTATTGAGGTAAGGGTCTGATCTCACCACCATCAACAGTTTGAACAACCTTAATTTTGTGGTTTAATTGCAACTCTATAAAGGTTTTAAATTGAGTGAATGTAGTTAAGGTTTGGGATTTATGTTTCTAGGGATATATCCATGTGTATCTAGTGTGTGCATCAACACATGTTAGGAAATATACAAGTCCACAAGAGGATGTTACATGTGCAGGTCCCCATAAATCACAAAAGATAAGTTCAAGAGGCTTAATGTAGGTTGCAGTTGAAGGATGAGAGGGGAGTCTTTGTACTTTCCCTAAACAACAAGCATTGCAAAATTCAAACAAATTCTTATTAGGTATTTGAATGTTACAAGTTTGAATTACATGTTTAAGAGTATCATGTTGGGGAAGCACTAGTCTACGTCTTTACGATGCCAAATTTGGTAAAGACTAGGAGGGGTGGGGGCAATACTAGTTGTATTGTTATTACAAGAGAATTGAGAAGCATGACAGAAATTGAAGCTATTGATAGAGCTGGACCGAGAGGAATGGCTTGAGACATGCAGGACTTGAGGTGAGGTTGGAGCAAGGTTGTCAAACTTGTAGAGACCATTCCTCCCAAGAGAGCCTCTTAACAAGAATTTAGAACTATCATTTAACAAAGCACATATCAGCATGGAATTCAAAGAAAACTGAATTGTCCCTAGCAAACTAACTTACACTAACTAGGTTTTTGGTAATTAAAGGTACAATCAACAAATTATCCAGTTTTAGGGATGTGTTAGGATAGAATGTGGAAGCAAAAGCCAACAGCTGTGATAGACAAACCTTGGCCATTCCCAATATGGACCTGATCGCAACTCAGATCTGAGTTGCCTCAAACACGTCTTCATCTGTGTGTGGCAGGAAGAGTGCATTTCTTCCCACACTTGTCACGAGTGATGTAGAAGAACAAAGCGAGAAACAAGCGGGTCTTAGATGGTGAACAACAACCATGTGCATACGAGACAGTCTTGTTCTTCCCAAGCTACAAATGCAGGATTTCCAATTTGCGAATCTTGATCAGCAACAACGAGAAATTGCTCAGGGTTCTGAGATGTAACGACATACTTCTCCATTTTTGTTTCTCGAAGTACTCCTTCAACCTGCTGTTTTCACTGACTGTAGTTTGACTAATTAATTTTAAGAGAGATCCAATGTTTAAACGTAGTATTAGAGTATGTGGCAAAGAACATCCAAAACAAAAGTAAAACGATAAGGGCATAGGGTTAAACCTTGGTGCAATTCTGTTTTTTTATTTATTTAAATAAAATGAAACAATTTATTTAGGTCTCTATTATCTCTAAACTCTTCATATGTATTTCCCTCAACATTTATCGAATTGGAGCCTGTTGTAGATTTTTATTCTTTCTAGGCTAATTTGTTTAACTGGTAATTGCAAGGGCAGATGAAGTTTGAGAAAGTGACTCGTAGAGCGCAGGAGCAATTTCAAATAGCTTTAGAGGAGCAGAGCAGGTATTCATTGTTATTCTCCTTCTATTTTTTGGGTAGTTTTTGCTACCTCTGTCTCGCCTCTTGTTGCATGGAACCCTCTTTTTTCTATGTTCATACCTGTTGGGATTTCCGCCATAATTGCAGTCCACCCTTAGTCGTCTTAATTGAGGCACTTTGGCTTGCCTTCATTGCAGCCCCCAATACCATAATTGTATTGGGTTTTGTAGAATTATGAGAGAACGAGAGACATTTGAGTAAACCATTTGTTTGAATAGTGTTAAGAAATGTGGTTACAAAACCGGTTGGTAAGGTGAGAATTGCCCCCACTTATAAAGACATGCAATATATTATTTGATGTGAGACTCTTAACACACCCCCTCACGCTCAGGACTAGACAACTGGAGCGTGGAAATAAATGGTGGGTGACCCGATAGCAGAAACCATAGAAGGTGGCCCACCGGATCTTAAACTAGGTTCTGATACCATGATAAGAAATGTGGTTGAGCCTAACTCAACCCTACAAAACCGGTTGGTAAAGTGAGGATTGCCCTCACTTATAAAGACATGTTCATGTCATATATTATTCGATGTGAGACTCTTAACAATTAGCACTTCGGAAGTTGTATTATATAGTAAAATATACAACTCATAGTACTAATTACATAGGGAATAGGGGCACAGTTAAGGTGTTGGGGGCTGCAATGAGGGCAAGCCAAAATGCCGCAAATCACATTTCTTAACCATTCTTATTAAAAACTTTGCAAGTGTCCAGAAAACCAGTGATCCAATATGCTTGAATTATTAGGTATTCTGAGTGAGATGTGGCCAGAAGCTTTACCTAAGGAATTTATGGAGATTAAAAAGGAAATTCATTCATTTTTTGTGAAATACTAGAGTTATCCTTTAGTTCATGTTTTCTTTTTCATATTTCGTTTTATTAGATTTTTCTCTTAAATTGAAAAAGCATATAATGCTCAATTATAGACTGTTGTTTCTGACTGATTTTTCAGATTTGCATTTGATATTGATCTCGATGCTCCTAAAGTAAGAGTTCCTCTCCGAACTAGTGGTTCAGACCGATGTGATAGTCATTTCCTTTTGGATTTTGGTCATTTCACCCTACACACCGCGGTATGCTTCTTGAGTTACATGATTTTAAGTTGTGATTATTGCCGTGGTATTTTCTCAAATTATTCAGTATTCTCACAGGAAAGCCAGTCTGATGAGCAGAGGCAGAATCTTTATTCTCGATTTTGGATTACTGGACGAGATATTGCTGCTTTTTTTACCGACTGTGGCTCTGATTTTGGGAATTGCAGTTTGGTGAAGCCAAATTATGACGGCCAAATAGTGAATTCACCCATTACTGATACGGTTGAAAATGTTTATTCTCTGATTGATAGGTGTGGAATGGCAGTACTAGTTAATCAGGTTTGTTTGTCATGCTCATCCAAACTGTTCTATTGTCATTTTCTGGATGACTTGTTACTGAGTATATTTTGTTCTTATAATGTTTCTTTCTTTGGTTACTCAAGATTAAAGTGCCTCATCCACGTTTCCCCTCCACTCTTATTTCCATTCAAGTGCCGAACCTTGGCATTCACTTTTCGTCAGAGAGATATTTCAGAATCAATGAACTGCTAAACATATTATATAAGACTATGGAAAATTGTAGTCAACCTACGTCAGATAGTTTCCAATCTAAAGTTACTCCTTGGAGTTCTGTGGATCTTGCCACTCATGGTAGAATCCTAGTATGGAAGGTATTTCTATAACTCTCTGTTAATTTACTCATTAGTCATTTATTTTGAGGTATCATTTTGTTTTTCCCAATTAATTGAAAATAATGTTACATTGCATAGGGAATTGGCAATTCCGTTGCTACATGGCATCCTTGTTTCTTGGTGCTTTCAGGATCATATCTTTATGTATTTGAATCAGCAAAGTCCCAGAGTTACCAACGATACTTAAGGTTTTTTACATCCTTTTCTGTTTTATTTGTTGGAAATTAGTGCCAATGTTTCTTTTAACAGAAAAGTATTTTAAGAGAAAAGAGAAAAAATAACTTGTTTATGGAGTGTACTATCCTCCAGAATGGAAAAATCTACTAAAAGAAATATGAAAAATAGAGCCATTTTTCATTTTTGAAAACATTTATGTGTTCATTTTCTAAAATTTATGTTTGTTTTAAGTTGTTAATATGAAGGCTCATGTAATGAATATTTGTCATAGAGAGAAGGTGGAAAGCAAACTAGGAAGAATGCATTTTCAAAAATAATGAAAACAATGTTTATTTTTAACCTGTTAAACAATGATTTAAACCTGTTTATTAATAACAATGATTTTAACTTGGAAAACAAACTCTGGATTATTTTAACCTGTTTATTATTAACAATGATTTTCTAATTATTGTAGAGTTGCAATTATGTAATTATTTTAGCATCTCCTTAATTATGAAAACAGATTGTATGAAGTATACACTAATATATATAGAGAGGAGTAATACAACAGAAAGACACAGTTTATGATACAGTTTTGTGTATAACATGGTATTAGAGCCGGGTCAAGGACTGCAGTGTGGTAATTGGACCCAAGACCACGCTTGGCGAGGGTGGAGTGTTGAAGTTGTTTGGAGTCCACATTGCTTAGGTTTCTGGTGTTGGATGTATAAATTTGTTTTGAGCACCCTTAACCTTTTAGTTAGTTTTTGGGATGAGATCCAAGCACATTTAACGCATTCTATCTTGGAATTATGGGATACAGTTGTCTCCTTATTGAATGAGGCCATGAATCTCCTGGCAATTGCAATTGCACTGAAGCACTGCAAATTGTCCTTAAAATGCACTCTATTTATTATAACTATTTTTGGTAAATTAAACAATGAAAAATCGATTCAAAGCATAAGGGCACATCTAATTCCCGCTATGTTTGCTTCACAAGAATGAAGGCTTATACTAATGTACATTGGGAGAAAGAGCAATATAAGGATTACAAATTTGATATGAGTTATAATAATTCTATTGAGTACTAAGTTGTCAATAGCGCGCTATAGTGGCGGTGTGGCCCCTCACCGCAACGCTATTGGTCTGCGAAGTGCTATTGACGGTAGCGGTCATAGCTGCCGCGAAGTGGTTTGGTACCGGCACAACGGCAGCGCTATGGTGTTTTCTTGATCACTATTCTCAATTTGGGGAAAAAACGTAAACCCTAATATTTTAAAACTTAATTTTCATCATTTTTACGGGTATATTAGTATTTCCCACCCTTTTAGTGACCTAATATATAACCCCATGTGTTATGTTTCTTACATTTCACTGTTTTTAAGGGCTTTACTCGAGAAGTTGTTGGTAATGCAGTTGGGGATAATGAACCAACAAGAATTACTAGACACCAATCTAGACTTGCTACTGTTGTGCTACCGATGTGCCTAATGGAGATGAATTATTAATTGTTCCTTTACTTGACAGGAATTCATTTTGATGGGATATATTATTACTTGTTCCTTTAAATATGTTTTTTTTCCTTTCTATTTTTAATATTTATGGTTACTATGTATATTGTTTTTTATTCTTCACAATAGCGGTCATCACGCTATCCGCTATGCTGATATAACATTTTGGGGGTTCGGTGCTATCCGCTGCTATCCGAGATTAGCAAACTAGATTGAGTATCATTACCTTTAAATATAGAGTTTTGGCCTTCTTGTTTCTTAATGGGTTTGTCGTGGTGGAATTTAATTTTCCGGTGTGATACATATTCATGTCCTGTGGTTGGGTATTAGTTTATAAATATATTTTTTATTTTCAGATTAAAAAAAGAGTGAATTAGCAACTGAAACATGGATTAAGTGAAGATTTAGAAGTAAAAATTAAATCGAGAAAAAACAGAGTTGGCTGAAGGCTTTTGCTTGTAACTTTCCAGAAAACAGTGATTCGATCGGCATTACTTGTAGCCAGAGTAACAGAACAAAAAAAATTCTTCGGTATTACTTGTAGCCATAGTAACAGAACAAAAAAAAATTTGCAATATGAGTGCCCCAACAGGAATCCAAACATTCTATACTTGTAAGAACTAACTGACTCTTATCATATGAAAAAACGCAATAACTAACACTAGAAGTAGACTACTGACACATGCTGCTAGAGACAATTAGATATCACCTAAGTAAATCCCCACCCCTTGCAATCCTACGATTCTGGCTCTTCTAACATAAAGCAATACACCAGAAAAATCCAGTCTCTGCTCTCTTTTGTATGGAGTCGTTGAGAAGCCAGTAGAATTGAAGCAGCTGAGTAACTTCAATAATATTAAGGCTCTATGCAGTTGAAAATTTAAAGGTAAGTTAGTATCATGAATATAGCCTAAATTGCTGTTAGGCAAATTATAAGTTTGAAAGAGCTGATAATGAGGGAAAATCGCTCTAGAAACTGTCATTTACCCAAATGAGTTGTTAGGCCACCTAAATATCTCCTGGTAATGATCATTCATGGGCACGAGAGGGTGTGATGAGATCCCATATTGACTAGATATTTAGCCAAAGTATTCCTTATAAGGCTTGAGCTTGCTTCTGGGTTGAGTTAGGCCTTACCCTAATGCAATATTTTTGTGTAGACCCAAGCCCTTGTCTTCCAACTTCTTTATTTCCCTTCAATTTTTGAGTTTGTTGTGATAATAACTTTAAAACAGAATTTGTTTTAATTTATTTTATGTATGTAATTTAGTGTTTGGACTCTGCAGCATGGCTGGGAGGCAAGTCCTTGATATTCCTCCAATGAATGTTGGTGGCTCCCCATTTTGTATTGCTGTAAGCACCAGGGGAATGGACATTCAGAAGGTAAACTAAATAAATTCCGGTAATCTTGATAGAAGTATGGTGTTTCATTTCTTAAATTACTCATGTTTTATTCCTCTACACTTCATCATGAACTCTCATTCAACACTTCGGGTTCTGTCTCTAAACTCGCAACACCCCAATGAAGTTACTAGAGCAAATATAGAAGAAAGCTCGTTAGTGTAGGTGTACTGACATCTGTCAGTTCTATGTGTATAGGTTATGTTACTCTATAATTAACAAGGTGTCATCTCTCATTGTAACCTCCCAATGTAACTGACTTCTGAAAATAACAGAATTCTGGTATAGAATGAAAACAGAAATTGAACTTCCATCTTGCTAAGTTTCTAACATGGTATCAATTTAAGCCATCGATCCAGGTCCTGCAATGACGAAACTACCATCGTCACCAGTGCCTTCGTTGTCGGCTTCTGCTCAGCTCTCCGGTGCGACCGTATCGGAAGTGTCGAAATCTTCTCACTTCTGGAGTCAACAAATTGAACCGTACATCAATGCTCACAACCTCACGGAGTTTGTTGTTTGCTCGTGCATTCCGTCTCAGTTCGCTGATGATGAAGCTCGCATTTCTGGTGTCGTTAATCCTCTGAATACACTTGCAGAAAGATCAGAAGTTGTTGTCATGGCTGCAATCGATGATATCGAGCGAAACTCATTCACGCGTTCTTGGCTGCACGCATGCTCATCAACTACAGGAACAACTATTTTCAGAAACAAATTCGTGCCGGATCAAGACAATTGCGTCAATTGCGTTTGAGCTTCGTGCCCTAACACTTGAGAGCTCCACGGTGCAGGAGTATTTGCTCAACATTTGCAATATAGTGGATGCACTTGCATCAATTGGTGATCCAATTTCTAGTTCACATCACATTGATGTCATTCTAGAAGGTTTACCTTCTGAATTTGCACCTGTTGTAAGTTTGGCTTGATGGATCTTGATGAAGTAGAGATTCTTCTCCTTGCTCATGAATTGCGTCTCACTAAGTTCAAGAAGCAATAGCTTCTAGATCTAGTGTCTCTCAATCTCACACATGGTGGTTCCACAGTTTCCAACACTGAGGACACCAATTCCTCTGCATCAGATTCAGTTCCTCCGGTGGTTGCACAAAATTCTTAAACTGACTTTCACCAGTTTCATGGCGGCAGAGGTCCAAGAGGTGGTCGCTTAGGTTGTGGTAGGTTCTCCACTGTGCAATGTCAGGTGTGCTCCAAAGTAGGTCACTCAGCTCTCAACTGCTGACACAAATTTAATCAATAGTTTCAACCTACTTCTAATTTTGGATCTGTTTATCTTCATCAACCTTGGAATGCTTCTGCAAATCCGTTTGCTATGCAGGCTGCAAATGTGTGGACTATACCTCTTTCAACCAACAGAACACTTCCACAACTAATTGTGCCTAATGCCTTTGTTGCCGACTCTCAGCAATCTGCTTCTCCAAGCTCATCTTGGTATCCAGACTCTGGAACCTTCTATCGTGTTACCAATGACTTAAGGAATTTGCAACAGGTGACACCATTTGAAGGTTCTGATCAGATTTTTAGTGGCAATGGACAAAGTTTGCAAATCAACTCAACTGGTTCTAGTACTTTTTCATCCACCCCTCACCCTCACACACCTCTCACTTTGAATATTCTCTTACCTATATCTTTAATTACTAAGAATCTCATCAGTGTCAGTCAATTTTGTTGTGATAATGGAGTCTATTTTCTATTTACGTTTGACAAGTGCCTTGTCAAATCCTAGGCTTCCCATGAGGTGTTACTTGATGGTGTTGTTGGAACTGATGGGTTGTATGAGTTTTCTTCTATCAACCTGTCCAGCTTTAATCTCAAGATTGCTTCCAGTACTGTGTTCTAGTTCATTGTTTCCTAGTGTTAATTCTACATTTGTTAGTGCTAGTCTTACCACTATGTGGCATTTTAGGTTAGGACATCCCAATATGCACGCCCTTAAACTTGTATTACAAAGTTGTAATGTTTCATTCAATAATAAAGATCGTGCTTCCTTTTGTTCAACTTGTTGTATGGGCAAGTCTCATAGAATTCCATTCTCACCCTCACACTCTAAATCATTGGAATTAATTTATGGTCATCTATGGGGACCTTCTCCTAATGTATCTATCTTAGGCTTTAAAATACTATATGTCCTTTGTTGATGCTTACACTAAGTTCACATGGATTTACTTAAAAATAAATCTGATGCCCTATCTATTTTCAAACAATTTAATACTATGGTTGAATTACAATATGGTTTGCCTATTAAAGCTTTTTAGTCTGACTAGGGTGGGGAATCTAGACCATTTAACACGTATCTGTCTGAACTAGGTATTCTGCACAGTTATTTGCCCCCACACATCATAGTGGACACATGTCTCACTCTACTTAGCCAAACCTCCCTACCTCTCGCTATTGAGACTTTGTTTTCTCTATTTCTGTTTACCTAATTAATATACTTCCCTCTGCATCCATCAATTTTCAAATCCCTTATTCCTTCTTGTTCAACATCAGGCTCGACTATGCCTTTCTCAAAGTGTTTGGGTGTGCAGGCTTTCCTCTGTTAAGGCCATACACCAGTCATAAACTTGATTTTAGGTCTCAAGAGTCCATCTTCCTTGGTTAATTTACATGTCACAAAGATATAGGTGCCTAGCCCCTAGTGGTAGGCTTTATATCTTCCTTGGTTACTCCATATCTCACAAAGGATATAGGTGCCTAGTCCATAATGGTAGGCTTTATATTTCCAAAGATGTGTTGTTTAATGAGTCAAGATTTTTTTATGTTGAACTTTTTAGATCTCCCACTCCAATTGTCACACATAACTTCTCATTTGTTCTCTCTCTTTCACCTCTACTATGTTTCACCCATTCTCCTTCAGATTCAACTCCTAGTCCATCCTCTACATCTAGTTGGAACATTTCTTCAACCCCCACTGCAGGTGCTAACAATCCCTCTGAGTCCTCTAGTCATGCCAGAATATCCGCTAATTCACATACTGAAAGTCCAAGTACTTCCACAGCTCCATCTGATAGAGGTTCTCCTTCATAGGCTATCCCTTCTTTCTCATCATCTCCCTCAGTTTCTCCTGGTTTAGGTTCCACTCAGTCTATGTCTCATGTCGAGTCTTCTAGCTCCACTAGTTCAAAGTCCACTGCTTATATTGTTATCCCTGCTAAGGCTGTTCCTGTTGATGTTAGACCAGTCAACAGGCATGCTATGCATATTAGAGCCAAATCTGGCTTTTCCCAACCTAGACTGGAACCTAAACTTTTACTTACCCTCTCTAAACCTAAGACAGTTAAGCATGCTCTTGCTGACTTGCAGTGGAAGGCAGCCATGCAAGTAGAGTATGATGCTCTCATGAGCAACAATACATGGACTTTAGTCCCTCTTCCTCCTCAAAGGCAGACCATTGGCAGAAAATGGGTTTTCAGGATAAAAGAAAATCTTGATGGCACAGTTGACATATACAAGGCTAGACTTGTAGCCAAGGGATTTCACCAAATAGAAGGGTTTGACTTCAATGAGACATTCTCTCCTGTAGTGAAGCCTATTACCATCAGGATTTTTCTATCTATTGTAGTCACCTACAATTGGTCCATTCAACAACTTGATGTGAACAATGCATTCCTAAATGGTTTATTAGATGAGGAAGTCTACATGGTTCAGCCAAAGGGTTTTAAAAGCTCAAATTCTGACCTGGTGTGCAAACTAAACAATGTCATCTATGGTCTTAAGCAGGCTCCTAGGCAGTGGTTTGAGAGGTTATAAGCTGCCTTAGTTTAGCTTCAGTTCAAGCCAAGCAAGTGTGATCCATCTCTATTGATTCACTTCTCTCAAGGGCACACACTATACCTTCTGGTTTATGTTGACGACACCATCATCACTGGAAGTTCTAGTGCTCTTGTACGGTCTATTATTTCTAAGCTAAATGTAGCTTTCTCACTTAAACACGTAGGTGACTTGGACTACTTTTTTGGTATTTAAGTTATAAAGGTTACCTCTCAATCTCTGTTGCTCACTCAGACCAAGTACATAAAAGATCTTTTATTAAAACTAACATGTTTGACTGCATTTCTGTTAACACACCTATGCAGTCTACATGTAAACTAACTGATGTTGGCTCACTTGCTTTGGCTGATCCCTATATGTACAGATCAGTTGTTGGTGCACTTCAATATGCTACACTTACCAGACCTGATATTGCATACTCATTCAATAAGGTATGTCAGTTCATGTCTCACCCTCTTGAAGCTCATTAGGTGGCTGTGAAAAGGATCTTAAGGTACCTCAAAGGCACCCTCTCTCATGGTTTCCACCTGCTTCCACCGCTTATCAATACAACTCCATCCATTCAAGTGTTTTGTGATGCCGACTGGGCTTCTGACCCAGGTGACAGAAAAAGCACCTCAGACAGCTATTTACTTTGGCCCCAAGTTGATTCTTAGAGTAAATATAGAATAAAGCTCATTAGTGTAGGTGTACTGACATCTGTCAGTTCTATGTGTATAGGTTACCTACTATTAAAAAAAAAGAAGGTAAAAGCTGTTGTGTTTTATTCCTTTGCCTTATGCTGGTTTATATAGTGAAGATACAAATATTAATCTTGATCTTCTCCTTAAAGGAAATAAATAAATTGAAAATAAAATATTTTCCAACACCCCCTTTAAGTTGGTGCATAAATATCTATCATGCCCAACTTGTCTATCAAATGCTCAAAAGTAGGTTTTGCCAAACTTTTGGTCATGATATCCGCAGTTTGCTAACTTGAAGTCACGAAGGATAGACATATGATTTGAACATCTAACTTCTCTTTTATGAAGTGTCGATCAATCTCGATATACTTTGTTTTGTCATGTTGAACTGGATTATGAGCTATGCTAATAACGGCTTTACTATCAGAGTACAGTTTTAATGGTTGCTCAATTTTCATCTCAAGTTCTTTTAGGACTCTAAGCGTGTGTTTGGGTGAGGTATTTTAATGAGGGAGTGCAATTTTTTGAGAGAATTTAAAATGACTTGATAAAAATTCATTGTTTGGATGAAAAATATGGAGAATTGTTAAAATGATATAAATTTATGAAGTATTTTATTCAAGTTAAATTGAAGGAATTTCAAATGACACCAAAAATGAAAGAATTTGAAATTGCTCCTCTACTCTATATAATGCAAATTTTAAATTGTTTATTATTAATTTTTAAATTTTGCAAGATGATCCTTATATTTTATGAAAATTTCAAATTCACCTCTAAAATTTTCAAAGAATTGCACACAAGTCCGTAATAATTTTTCGATTTTACAAATTAGTCTCTTAAAAATTTTAAAAATTGCTAATTGGTCCCTATTTTTCATGTTTTAAATTTGGCTAAAAAGTTTTAAAATTTCTAAAAATGACCCTAAAAGTTTAACAATGAATCATTTTAATACTCCATCCGAACAATAGAATTTAAGAATGGATTGATTTCAATTGAATCATTTAAATTGCTTAGAATTTTGAATTCCTTAAAAATTCTCAATTACCTCATCCAAACGCATTCTAAGGATTCTTAATCCTTCACATTAGGTCCGAGTCTCGCCTTTTCGAAGACCTGATCTGGTCTATTAGCCACCTGATCTGGTCTATTAGCCTCCTTAGAGGCTTATTTCTTACAAACATACTGATTTTTTTAATATGTAGTAAGATGGATGTATATAAAAAACTGAATAGAGGCTTACCCGTTTTTTGCAAAACCACTCCCAGTTTTATACCTGCGAAAAACTTTGCGTATATACAGATAGTTGTGGTAGAGTTAACAATAGTGTAATTATTTCAATCAAATTCAGTTTAACCTTTTCTGTATTTCTATCTTAACTTATCCCACTCTAGTACCTGACGAAACATGACCAGATGACATGCTTTGATTGCTTCTTTTGGATTATAATTTCCCAATAAATAGTATGGGATCAAACCTCAAATTTTTGTTCAGCTGCTAGAATCTTCATATTTGTAACCATTGGGAATAGATATGCTTGTTTGTTAATTTACTTGCCCCGACTCTTTGAAAATATGAATTTCCTTCCAGGCTCTGGAGTCTTCTAGCACCTGGATCTTAGACTTTCGGGAAGAAGAGGAGAAGGGTTTATGGTTCAAAGGACTCATCCAAGCTACATATCAAGCCTCTGTAAGACAGCTTTAATATATGCTTTTTTTCTCATTCATTTTGCTTTGGCAAGATATTATTTCCTTGATCTTCATAGTTTATTTCATAAACGTATACATTTTGCATTGCATGCTGCAGACGCCCCTATCAGTTGATGTGCTAGGTAATTCAGAGGGTGCTGCTGCTTCCTACAATGCTCTTAATACCACAAATTCAAAAACAGCTGACATTGTTATAAATGGGGCATTGATGGAAGCCAAGCTGTTTATATATGGAAAGGTTTGATACATTCCTTTTAAGGCTTTATCTGTCAAAAAGCATGGGGAATGATTAGTTTGTAATACAGGCACTAGAGCACTAACGCACATACGTCTCTCTTGTTACTTTTTATTCCATTCCCAAACTATGCCTATTTAATATTGTATCAAGAGAGAGAGAGAGAGAGCTTTCGCAGTAAAACTGTTAAAGTTAATTTTAACATGTATTTATCTGCTGATTACAACTGTATTTATAGCTGAATCTTGTAAGATAAATATCAACCACATTCAATGAACTAATTTGCAAAGCATCAATGAATCTTGAAGATTCTGCATACAGGCTTGGCATTTATAATGCTAGTAGCATAACTAACACTAACAGAAAGGTAGTTATGGCAATTGTCAGCCAATTAATCAAAACAAACTAAAACAACAATGAATATTCTAGAAAACTCATTAGCAGATGTTAAGTTAAGACATATGTTGAGGTGTTTTACATGCTCTATCAGGTGATGATTTAATTTAAGTTATGCCAGCTAAGTGTTTCCAGAGAGAGAGAGAGAGTTTGAGAGTTAAAAGGAAACAAATGTGATTTATGTAAAAGTAAAACTAAATCTGTTACATTCTCCAACTAAATATTTAGTAAGTGCAGAATCCTCTATGGGACAGGCTACTAATAGTTAACAGAATAACTGATGGGATAGCTATCTCCTATCTAATAATTGAGTTCAGATGTAATGGAGTAACTCATAAGAATCTAGAATACTGCACTAAACAGTAATATGTGAGACAAAACAGAGACACGAAGAACTATCTCACGCTTCTATCACCAGTTTAGCTAGCTGACTAGAAACTTCTGTAGCCTAACTTGGTGTTCACAATCATACGCTCTATCAATCAGTCTCATGTGGCTTAGAGTCGTTTGTTTAAGTCTTTTGTGGTTTCTGGTAGTAACTGAATTTTTCACCCATTCTTTCTTATGGTTATTTGCTATGGTCCACTGCGATAGATTCATAAGCCCTTGTGCAAATACTTAGAGATATATGTGATTTAACATATGTGCAGGCTGGAAACACCACCACTGATGGAAATCATGATGAATCTCTCATTCTTGAAATTGTTGCAGATGGGGGAAAGGTTTGTTTCCTAAAATAAGCTTATACATTTGACACCTATATAGATATAATATAGTCTTAAATTGGAATTCCATAGACTGCTTAATTCTTTTGATTGTCTTATGCACTTTTGTCCTTATGTATAGGAATGTGGAAAAGTGTCTGTAAGTTTCTGTGACATTATGACTATAAGTTTTAAGTACTACACTAGTTTTTTTTTGGATCAACAGGAACTTGTGTATTTATTTAACCTGTTTTATGTTCCGTTAGAAATAATACATGTAAAACTTATACTAAATTAATTTTTTAATATTTTGGGAAATTCCATAGCCAAAGAGAAACTGTCAGAAAAGTGATAGAAAATACAAGAAAGTTTCAATGAGAAGATTGGAGGGAAAGATTGCCACTATATTGTGGGTGAAGTTGATTCTGTTTCAGATTGCCATAATTTTTCTTAACATGCTTGATTGAATTAGCACCTAGCAGAGTGTTTAATTTAGATATATATATTAATTGCGAGGATAATGATTGTAAAATGCTATTTGAAAATAAGAGGAGGTGAATTCTGTTGTGATTTATTCTCCGATATTAGTTGGTTTAAATAGAAAGAGTACTACCTAATCACCTCCTTGAATCAAGAAGAGTTAGTTAGAATAGAAAATACTAGAAACTCCTAGTAAAAAGTAAAAAGTAAAAAGTAAAATAAGCAGTGGATAATAAAATCAATATTGTTAATCCAACAAATGCATTTTACAAAGGTAATTAAGTTAATTCTAAACTAAGGTACTAAATTTCCAGTTTAAGGTGAACAATTTACAGGAGAAGAGAAACTCCCTGAGTACTAGCATATGCTTTGCATGCTGCTTTTTACTCCTGCAAAGTTACCAACTTCTCAACAAAACTACAATACTTAGTAGGGACCTCCTGTCATCAATTGGCCCTGCATAGTCAACATCAATATAAGTCTCAATTATTGCATTGACATTCATTTTATATAAATTTTTTATCTTATTAAGTTATCTAGTTGTTACTCTTTGCTAACAAAATTATTCTAATTTATTAGTACATTTGGCATTTAGCTCCATTTGTATCTCTGACCTAGAGACCAAGTCATATATGGTTGCCGTTTTGTCTCCCAGGTGCATGTCATTCTTGCAGATGGGGACCTTACAGTGAAGATGAAATTGCATTCTTTAAAAATTAAGGATGAACTTCAGGGTCGTCTATCTGTAACTCCACAATATCTAGCTGTTTCAGTCTTGAACAGAGAAACTTTATGTTCTTCCTCTGACTCAACCGACTCCCATGGGAAGGACGTTTCTCTTGGGATTCTTGATGATGATGATAGCTTTATGGATGCATTATCGGAGTTCATATCTCAAACAGATGGAGGACATTGTTTACATAATATTGAGTTAGATCAGCATGGGTTGACGGGGATTGCTTCTGACTTTGAATCTCTAGAAAGTTTAATTCATGAAAAAGAAATTGAAAAGGGGAAGGCTACTCCTCGTGAGATATATTATGAGGCAGAAGGAAGTGATACTTCAAATTTTGTATCTATGTCTTTCTCAACCAGGAGCTCTGGCTCACCTGATTATGATGGTATCGATACACAGGTACTTTGACGAGGATTGATAATATTGAATCTGATTCAGGTCTTCTCTTCTTTGTTATGAGATACAATGATGTATTTACATTTCTAATTATTCATCTTCAGATGTGTGTTCGTATGTCCAAGCTGGAATTTTTTTGCAACCGACCCACTATTGTTGCATTGATAAGTTTTGGATTGGATATAAGCACTGGAAATGAAGTGACAAGTGATACAGACACCTTGAAAACTTCTCCAGAGAGACCTTTAGTGAAGGAAAGGACTGATGAAAAGGGGCGTGTTAGAGGATTGTTAGGATTTGGTAAAGAACGTGTAGTATTTCGTTTGAACATGAATGTTGATAGTGTAACTATATTTCTTAACAAGGAGGATGGTTCTCAACTTGCAAAGTTAGTACAAGAAAGTTTCTTGATGGATCTTAAGGTAAATGGCTTGCTTTCCAAAAGTTGGTCTTTTAGTCTTCCTTTTTCCTTTTGTGGCTTTCTCTATGCAATTTGTTTCCTATCTTTTTTGGAATTATTATTTTCCACTATATGTTACTCTGAAAGCATTGCTATTTACTATTTGTTGTCATATATCTGCAAAATCTAAAATTGTTTATTTCTCTTATGAAGGTTCACCCAAGTTCTCTTTCTATTGATGGAACATTAGGCAATTTTAGACTCTGTGACACATCCCTTGGAACTGATCAATGTTGGGATTGGCTCTGTGACATTCGAAATCCTGGTATTGACTCCCTTATAAAGGTGTGTCTTCTTTTCCATGAACGTAAACCAACCTTTCATAGACTCCTTGTGGGTGTGTGTAAAATTCCACTGCCCTACAGAAGCTTAACTGTTTTAACACATTATTTTAATTTTTACATCAGTCATAAGTTTTCACCGTAAGTTGACAATATAGTGTACATTACGCGCAGGTTAAAATTAGCTTATGTTGGCTTTAGAAAAATTTAAAGTTTAAAGTTGTTACAATCTGTAGACTATTTTAACAGTGAAGTAAAACTTGAAAGTTAAGATATAGAAAATTCTGAATATTATTTATATGAAATACAGGCTAGAATTCAATGATATAGGCTAATGACAATTAAGAAAAAAACAGAATCAGAATATCCTAGTAAAAACATTGTTTGGATGATAAGAAAGATAAAGTGTTCTATCCTAATTTAGTGCTACTTTCATATTTATAACAAAAACTACAAAATAAAGAGTTTTAACACAATCATTCAAAGTCTAATCAATGAGTGAGTTCGTTTTGTTTATTTATGTGCATTTTTCATTGTATTTTATATACACAATTTAATATTTATTTACTGAATGAATGGAGAAGAAGCATCCAATCTATAAGAAACAGTTTTCGGGCTATGGCGGATACTCAAGACAGTTTTCGGGCTCGCCGCAATGGTAAATGTGGCCGATATTGCGGATATTCCCCCAAGTCTTTGTAGTATAGTGGTGGACAGTGTAGTCAAGATCAAGTGCTGGATCGTAAGATCTTACGTACCATGACTGCCAAAGCGCACGTTCACAACAAGATCGTTATCGCTGTCGGCATGGTCAAGATTGCAAAATAAAACTTGCTTAATTTTTTTTGTTGGGCCTGTCTATCTGGGTCGGATTTTTATTAAAAACCCCGGTTTACTTAATGTGGAAAACGAGTGCTTCATCTAACCCTATACAGTTCTCTCAAACACAAAATCTGCCTATTTTGAGTTTAGTCTTTTGAAGTTGATGGTTATGTCTTTTGAATAATACTTAAGATGATGTCTTTTGAATAATACTTAAGATGATGTCTTTTGAGTATTCCCACTAGTTTGGAGAACTTTACAATTGCACCCTAACCCTAACTAGGGTTAGCGATACCATATTAGAAAATAGAAAATACTGTTAGGCAATTTTATAAGGTTGTGTTTGGCCCAACCATAATTCTAAAAATTGTTATTATGATATATGCTTTGAAGGGAAATATGAGTTGTTTATATATTTTTTTTCAGTTCAAATTTAATTCTTATAGTGTTGAAGACGATGATTATGAAGGATATGACTATAGCTTGCAAGGTCAACTTTCAGCTGTTCGCATTGTTTTCCTTTATAGGTTTGTTCAAGAGGTACGCATGAAAAATTTACTAATGTGGACATAAATTAAAATTTGTACTTCTCTCCTGCTTTGAGACAGGTTTTTGGATAGAATTTTAAATCTGCGTGTTCTATGGCTTCATTCACATTTGAGATATTTCTAAAAAAAAAAAAGAAGAAATGACAAAATACTTCATGCTTTACCTCTGTAGATAACCGTGTACTTTATGGAACTGGCGTCCCCTCATACTGAAGAAGCAATCAAACTTGTTGATAAAGTTGGAGGATTTGAATGGTTGATTCAGAAATATGAAATAGATGGAGCTACTGCGCTCAAGCTGGATCTTGCACTTGACACACCAATTATAATTGTTCCAAGGAACTCAAAAAGTAAAGAGTAAGTGAATTTTATTGTTAAGAGTTATATTATAATAGTATATTACTAGGTTTAGTATTAAGTATATCGGCTTTGCCTATTTGTGTTTTTTATATATTACTCTTTTAATCTATTAATATAAATAGGAGGAGGGTCACTACACATTGTAGTGTATCTTAGTTATTATTCATATTATTGTAGTGTACCTAAGTGGTTGGTGATTTTTTATGATGGTCTAGGCACTCAGTGTAAACTCCACTTATAACCAGCCTCTGATATCTATTTTAGAATTTCTGAAGATGTAGTTTTGTGCAATTCATAAATGCTGAAATATAGAGAATTATGAACTGAATGCTGAATCTCAGCTTCTGAGTTTTTTTGAATGAATTCTGTTAGTTATTATAATAGGTGCAAATCCTATTTATAGAGAATCTAGGGAATAAGAGATTACTGGCTGTAGCCAGTTTACTGACTGACATGTGTCAGTTAGTTAGTTATAACTGAAATTCACTGACCGCATCTCAATAGATTCAGTTACGGTGTGTAACAAAATCTGTTTATAGGGATAATCCTGTGTGTGGGGCTGTCCTATAGCAGTGAATATTTCACTAATCTCTCCTTTAATAGGCAGAAACTACACTATCTGAATATTGAATTACATCAAGCATGAAATGCAAGGTGAAAGATCATAATTTGTTTTTGTATCTTACAAGCTGAAATGCAATTGCTTTATTCACTTCCAGTTTTATACAACTTGATCTGGGAAAGCTTCAGATTAAAAATGAATTCAGTTGGCATGGATCTCAAGAAGAAGACCCTTCAGCTGTGCATATTGATGTTCTTCATGCTCAGGTATGCATTTCTGGCATATGACCTATCACGATTAAAATACTTGACATATTCCTGACTCCAAATGAATTACAGATTCTGGCTATTAACATGTCTGTTGGAATCGATGGTTGTCTTGGAAAACCAATGATACGGGAAGGTCAAGGACTTGATATATTTGTTCGTCGAAGTTTGAGGGATGTTTTTCGAAAAGTTCCGACATTTTCACTTGAAGTGAAGGTAACTTTAAACACCAATGTCTAATGTTTGTATTTTATATCCCTAAAACTACCTCTTTACAGGTTATATGAACTGATAAGTAGGGTGAAATGTCAAAATTTCTAATGCTTTTTTTCACCATATTGCAAAAACGTATTAACATGTTTATCTGTTTGAAGAAGTTTAAAGATAAGATTTAATAATATTTTCTGGTATAGCTGCCAAAACTAGGATTTAGATATATTATAAATGTTGCTTTAAAAAAAAAAAGAGAGGAAGGTATTGAATTTGAAAGATTTATAAAATTGAGGGTATGAGGCTGTTTTACTTGTAATTAGGTGAGGGACAAGACTTAAAATAGAATGCTGACTCCCGTTTATGAACAAAGAAAAAATATTATGATAAACAAAGAGTTGTAAAGATTATGCCCACTTTTTCGACCTATAAATTAAAGTTTATAAAATCTAAAAGTTAGTATAATTGTATCTCTTAATATCAGATTGATATTATTTCTTATTATTTGTTCTTGATTTAAGATTGAGTTTATGAATCCGATATATAGTAATTAATATTAAATATTTTGTATCAAGTCAATAACTATTATCAATAATATTTTTTGTTCATCTTTTAAATATAATTACAAATTCAAGATGATATTTAGAGCATTATTTATCTTTGGGTTCCATCGTCAAGGCTAACCTTTATTTTATTTATTTACTTGTCACTTGGTCACTGTGAGCATAAACCCACAACCACACCATTGAGAGCCTTTTCTTTGTGTCATTTAAGAAAATCAACGCACTCCCAATTTTGAGAGATCAATTAGAGCTTTCTTTGAAGGCTTTTTCAGCCATTTTTGCTGCGTTTCAGGCTTTGTTAGCTATTTTCTAGTCACTTTAGTTTATCATTTCAGTTGTGTTTTATCTTGGTTGCCTGAAATTTGTCTTCCGACTCATTCAAAGGTAATTTTGCTTAGTAGCTTGATGGCTGTCCAATATGTTTCATCTCTATCCATTCTGGTTCATTTTGGTAATTCTACGATTTGCCTATCTCATTGTGTGGGATCATGAATTTTAGATTCTGGTGTTTCCAATCAAGTAGTTGGTTATCCATCTCTTATCTCTAATTTATCAACTCTTAAAATACCTTACACGATTACTCTTGCTAATAGTTCTAAGACACGAGTTACTGCTATTGATCAAACTTCATCTCTACCATCGCTATCATTGAACTATGTGTTACTTATACATGGTTCAACCTTTAATTTGATTTCAATCAGTAAATTTATCCGCTCTCTCAATTGCTTCGTAAAATTGTTCTGAGTTTTACTCTATACAGGACCGTAGTACAGGAATGCCAATTTGAAATACTACCTTTATCATCATCCACCCACCATTTGTGACTATTTGGAATTGAATAATACTAGGAATGCCAATTGGAAATACCACCTTCATCATCATCCACCCACCATTTGTGACTATCTAAATTGAATAATATATTTTAAGTTTGTTAAAATTATGAGCACTAATCTCTTTATAAGACCATTCTAATCTAATGGGTCTAACTAATAGACTAAAAATCCAAATATAAATTATTATTAATAATAGTAAAAATAACTTATTTACAACAATCTCCCTCAAGCTGTGAATGAATATCTATTATTCTTAGTTTAAAAACCATCTTTTCAAAGTTATTGCTGTTCAGCCCCTTAGTTAGAAAATCTGCAACGTTGTGTTGAGAAGAAACATATGAAGTGCAAATAAGACCACTATCTAACTTTTCTTTGATGTGGTGTCTGTCAACTTCAATATGTTTGGTTCTATCATGTTGTACTGTATTATGGATTATGTTAATAGCAGATTTATTATCACAATAAAGTCTCGTTGGTTCATCACTCTTTATCTTCAAGTTTTTTAATATTATTTTTAGCCAAACTAGTTCACATATTCCTTGTGCCATTGCTCTGAATTCTGCTTCAACAATAGATCTAGATACAACACTTTGTTTTTTACTTTTCCATATCACAAGATTTCCATCCCAAAAAGTATAATATCCTGTAGTTGATCTTCTATTCACAGCTGACCCTGCATAGTTAGCATCGCTATATGCTTCAAGACTCACACTTCCATTTCGTTCAAACAAAATTCCTCTATCTGGAGTTTCTTTTAAATATTGCACAATTCGGAGTGCGGCTTGTGAATGAATCTCCTTTGGTTGGTGCACGAGTTGGCTTACTAAGCTTACAGCAAAAAGTAAAATTTACATTTGGTTTAGTATGTGATAGATATATAAGTTTTTCGACTAATCTTTGATACGTTCCCTTATCAACCAGAATATTTTCTTTTGAGTTCCCCAACTTTACTTTTGGATCGATTGGTGTACTTACAGGCTTGCATGTTGTCTTATCCGTCTCTTGTAGAAGATCAGCAATGTATCTTTGTTGAGATATGAAGATTTCTTTTTTAGAGTGGGCAATTTCAATTCTCAGAAAGTATTTCAATTTTTCAAAGGTCTTAATCTCAAACTCCTTGGCTAAGTGTTCACCTAACAATTGTTGCTTCTTCTCATCATCACCTGTAACAAAAATGTCATCCACATACACTAATACAATCGTTACTCCCATTGTCTCAGAATGTTTGATAAATATAGTATGATCTCCTTAACTTTGCTTAAAGCCCAAACCTATCATAACTTTGGTGAATCTTCCAAACCATGCTCGTGGTGATTGATTTAGGCTATATAAAACCTATCATAAGTTTACCGTAGCCAGGGGGTACATCCATATAGATCTCTTCATCAAGTTCTCCATGAAAGAAGACATTTTTCTCATCAAATTGATGTAAATTCCAATTGTAATTAGCTGCTAAAGGTATTATCATCCTCACAGTATTCATTTTAGCAACTAGAGCAAATGTCTCTAAATAATCTACTCCATAAGTTTGGGTGAATCCTGTGACAATCAATTTTGCCTTGTACCTCTCAATAGATCCATCAGCCTTGTATTTTACTGTATGCCCATCTGCACCCTACAGGTTTCTTCCCATTTGGCAGAGAAACCAATTATCAAGTATTGTTCTTATTTAGTGCCTCCATCTCTAAGTCCATGGCCTGTTTTCATTTTCTGTCAGATATTGCCTGAGATAAAGAGTTAGGTATTGTTATAATGTTTAGACTTGTGAGGAATGCTTTATGGGTGGGCGAAAAATGTTCAAAACTTAGGTAGTTAGATATAGGGTAAAACGGCTTTTTAGTACATTTTCTGGTATCTTTTTAAGGGCAATTGGAAGATATAAATCTTTATAGTATGGTGGTAGTACTGAGTTGGATTCTGTTTCTTGTTCATGAGAAAATTCAAAAATTGAATCACTAGTGCTTGAAGGATTGGGAGAAGTTACCTCATGTAATGTCAGATTGGATTCTTGGATACAATTAGATTCAAAAATGTTCTTCTTTCTTGTATATACTAAATCTTTTCCAAAATCTTACATCAGTTTCAACATTTCCATTTTTCCCAAAATCAAGTTCAGTCTTAACATTGTCACCACTTGTTTCAGTCTCTTCCAATTTGAAAGTAACATCAGGAAGTTGAGAAGACTCATCTTCCTTATTTATATTCTCCACCTGAAGATGAGTTTGTAGGAAGTAACTTTCTTTTTCATGGAAGGTGACATCTTGAGAGACAATATTTATGCGATGGTGGATGATAACATTTGTAAACCTTTTGGATAAAAGAGTATCCTATAAAGACACATTTTAACGCTCTAGGAACAAGTTTTTCTCGACCATCACTATGGATATGGACAAACGACGTACACCCAAATATTCTAAGGGTTAGATTATTTGAAGTAGACACTTCAGGATAGAATGAGGATAAAACTTTCATAGGAGCTTTGGGGGCAAGGACATTGGAGGGCAAACGATAAATGAGATACGATGCAGTTAAGACACCGTCGCCTCAATATTTCTTAGGGACTTTATTTTGGAATATTATAGAACGTGTTTGGTCAAACAAGTGCCCATTCTTTCTCTCACCAGTCCCATTTAGTTGAGGGGCTTTAACTAAGGCAATCAAAATCAAGATCCTATGCGGGATCGGAGAGGGGTTAGAAGATCGTGAATCGGAGTATCGTAACACATATCGTAAGATCCTACTTGTTAAGAGTCACAAATCGGATAATATATGGCATGAACATGTCTTTATAAGTGGGGGCAATCCTCACCTTACCAAACGGTTTTGTTGGGTTGAGTTAGACCCAACCACATTTCTTGACATGGTATCAGAGCCTCGTTTAAAACATGTTATGAGAGGGTGTGTTAAGAGTCTCAGATCAGATACTATATGACATGAACATGTCTTTATAAGTGGGGGCAATCCTCACCTGACCAACCAGTTTTGTAGGGTTGAGTTAGGCCCAACCACATTTCTTAACATGTCTTAAACGAGGCTCTGATATCATGTTAAGAAATGTGGTTGGGCCTAACTCAACCCTACAAAACTGGTTGGTAAGGGGAGGATTGCCCCCACTTATAAAGACATGTTTATGCCATATATTATCCGATCTGAGACTCTTAACACTACCAATTTCACAAATTGATATATATATATATATATATATATATATATATATATATATATATATATATATATATATATATATATATATATATATATATATATATAACCATAGTTTAGTAAAAAAATTCAAATCATACCCAAATTAAAGGGAAAGGCTCAAGGTGTCTGTACTGAATATGAATAAAAAAAAAATAAAAAGAACGATGAAGGAATATTTAAAATTTTTAAAAATACGTGAGAATAGTAGGTTTAGAGAATAAATAGGTAGGTGGCTATATTGGGAAGTTTCAGAAAAATAATGAGTGTATTGGAAAGGTTTTAAGAAATTAATTGGAATTTAATTGTAATTAAGTGTGAGAAATAAATGCTGCACATGTTTCATAAAAAAATAACCCTATTTGAAAGTTTCAGAACTGAAACGGAAGAAACGAAGATTCTACCGCTC